AGCTTCTGCTAACTACTCTGTTGGTTAACCCTTTAGTGTTAGCTTATGCTAACTACTCTGTTGGTTAACCCTTTAGTGTTAGCTTATGCTAACTACTCTGTTGGTTAACCCTTTAGTGTTAGCTTGTGCTAACTGCTATGTTGGTTAGCCCTTTAGCCTTAGCTTGTGCTAACTACTCTGTTGGTTAGCCATTTAGCATTAGCTTCCACTAACATCTATGTTGGTTAGCCGTTTGGCGTTAGCTTCCACTAACTGCTATGTTGTGACAGAGCTAAAAAGCTTTCTTCTCTCTTAGTGTCCAGTTGAGCAGGAAGCAGGAAGTCGTCAGCAGCCTATGCAGACCAGTGATGACGACTTTAACGATGAAGATGCTCCGCCCATGGAGCTTCAGCCTGCACCCGACGCCAAGTGAGAAAACACAAACACTGTAAACAGTGAATCGTCTAAGTCTGCATTTCACCCAAAACTTTCGATCTTTTCTGTTTCCCCGTAGCAGAAACGAGACTCTTCAGGAAAGGCCGGTTGAAAATCAGCGTGGTCATAATGAGGACATCGTTCTGAAGGTCCGCGTTATAGAGGACCCCCGTATTGTGGCTCTGTCAAAGACCGGTAAACGTTTACTGAGTAATTCTAATAATTACTACATTGCTACAGCGTTTTAGCGTTAGCTTCCACTAATTACTATGTTGTACAGCACATTAGCTGTAGCAGAAATAATGTTTCTGATTAGTGCTTTTGGGTTGGCGCGGCTTGTAGCTCGCGGTGCTCGCCTCTGGCTATCAGACGCTACAGGCTAAACCCAGAGTAGGTCTTTGAGGGTTTCATGTTCCTGATTGCTCCGTTTCAGTGCTGAAGAGGTACAAGTCCAAGAAGCTCCGGTGTCGCCGTGGGATGCAGGAGGCTGAGTTCCTGAAGCTGCTGACGTCCACCTTCCCCCAGCTGGCCCCTGCAACGCCGTTTGAGTTTTTAATCACCAACAAGACCAAGAAACTGCTGCCTCTGAAAGTGGAGTCCTGGACGCCTGAGCAGATCAGCAGCGCTGCTGGGAACTCTGCCCTCTACATCCGACTGAAGGTACTGCAGCTGGCGCCAAAGCAGTTCAAGATGGCTGAACAGGAAGCCATCTTGCTCCGGTTTCTGAAAATGGGTTTTTCTCTTTAGTCTGTAGGGGGAAACATCAAGTCCAGACTGAAAGATCTGCTGGCAGACGCACCAAGAAAAAAGTGACTTATTATAATTTTTTACAATAATTTTCTGCTTCCTGTTTTTGGCTATTTAAAGCAATGTTTAGTTTTCTAAACGTTGTTTTTTCCTCAGAAAAGAAAACAAACCTCAGCTCAACGAAACAGACACCCACATCAAGCTGAGGATTCACGTCCTGGAGGACTCCGATATCGACGTCGTCACGTCAGAAGGTGAATTTAAGCTCAGGAGGCCGAGGAGCCTGGAGGCGTTTACTCGTTTTAATCTCTGTCAATAATTAATACTAAATGAGCTGAGCATAAACGCCACAGCTTCTGATTCCAGATGAACATGAGTTTTTACAGGGTTTTTTTTTTTACGAATTTGATAATCTGTCAATAAAAAGATGAAGACATTTTAAAATAATGACTCAAAACAGATTTTATGATTAAACAAAGAAATGGATTAGCTTTCATTTTTGTTTATTTTTTCTCATCTTCTCTCCAACTTTCTGAGGCTGTCACTTTGAAAAACGCTAAAATTCACAAGAAAACTTTATTATTTTCAATGTTTTAAGTGCATGAATATGAAATGGATTCACAAAGCAAATAACTGATTCTGCTGGACAACAGAGGAGGAATTATTTTTTATTCATACGTTCTCTGGTGCAAAGCTCCTTTAGTACATGAAGCTTTTTTTTCCTTAGCTGAGTTTTTAGCATAAATATACATTAATATGTTTCTATTTTCCCCTGAACATGTGTGTGTTACCATGTGTGTGTCTTTATTAATTTGTGTGCCGTTTTCCTCCCTGTCCTGCTGACGTCGTTTGTGTTTCAGTGCTGAGGAAGTATCGTCTGAACAAACTGGAGTGTCGCCGTGGGATGCAGGAATCGGACTTCCTGGACCTGCTCAGGTCCACCTTCCCACAGCTGGCGCTGTTTGAAGCCTTTAGGTGCGACCGCAGCGGGAAGCTGCTGCCTCTCCACCTGACGTCCTTCACACCTGAGCTGATCTGCAAGGCGGCCGGGACGTCTGCCCTCTACCTGCGGCTCCAGGTACTGCAGCAGGGCGGACTCAGCCAGGACCCCTCAGGTTACCTGATAACTTAGGAAACATTTTCCTTTCAGCATCCAGAGGAACCCAGTGATGCAACAGAGGAGCCTCAGCAGAATAACCAGGATGGAGAGCGTTCACATCCAGCCACGCCCAGCAACAGGTAAAAACCTTTCAGTTTCCAGACAATCTGATCGGTTTCATCTGATCAGCTTTTAATCCTCCTCTTTCTGTCCCCCAGAAATGAAAACCCCGACCCAGCAGACGACGACGACGCTCACATCAACCTGAACGTCTGCTACCTGGAGGAGTCCCAGATGGATTCGTTTTCCTCTCAGGAAGGAGCTTCTTCCACCTTCAGCCCGCAGCTCCGTAATTATTTCTGCCCTTTCCTGTTTCTGATGCAGTTTAGAGAAGCAGAAATCTCTCATGTGAAAGTAAAATCAGAAACACAGCTTTCAGAGAAAACCTGCGAGCTCTCGGTTAGAAACCATGACGGTGTGACGTTACAGTTTAGTGTTGAGATGAACTCTGGACGGTTCGGTTCGTTTTCCGTTACAGCAGACCAACGATATCACCACCGTCACAGGCACAAGGTGACAAAACACAGCAAACAAGCTGAAAATATTAAAAATTAAAAGAATTTAACGTGCAACAGCAGATAATCGAAGCATGTAGCTTCACACAGAGAAAAATATAAAAGTAAAATAAAAATAAAATACTGCACAGTAACACAAAATGTCCAAAGCGATCAGTAATCAGATGCATGAGTTAAGGTTACAGCAGCAGCACTCCTCTAAGATTTCCAGAAACTTCACACAAATCTGCAGATTCCCATTTATTCTCATTTATTCCAGGAAAAGCAGCAGCTGCTTGTCCTTCCAGTGACGAGGTTCACTGCATGCAAACAAGCTGCGTTCCCCAGCAGCTGAATTTAAACTGACGTTCCCCCAGAGGCAAAATATGCTTCAAGTTTAATGAGAATCTGAAAAGAAAGATTTCCCACTCTATAAAAACAAAACAAAAACATTTTGCTCATTAAGGATGGATCCCAAAGATGAGAGTGAGAACTGGACCGGACCAAGCATGGAGCCTTGGGGAATCCCATATTTAAAGGAAATGCTTCAGTTTCTTTTTTCAGCCTGTTGTACTTTAACTTAACGATTCAGAGTTAAAAAGCTCCAGTAATCTCATCTCAGTAGTTAACTGTAGTTTATTTAAACTCCTGGTCATTTGGTAAATAATCGTTTTCTTAAAAACTTACAATAGAGACAGAGAGGTTAGCTAACAGCTTCAGTAAAACCTGAACTGACTGGCTGAGTTTTCTTTGTTTTCTCAGTTTTGCAGAAGTTTCCGATCCATGTGCTGAAATGTCCCCGAGGTCTGCAGCAGCCGGACTTCCTGGCCTTCCTCAGATCCACGTTTTCTCAGCTGGCTTCAGATCAGCCCTTCAGGGTTTTTGCTCTTCAAGGCCAGAAGATGCTGCAGCTGAACCTGAACAGCGTGAATCCAGAGGAGATCAGGACGACCATCGACTCCCTGGAGGCTTCGGTCATCTGCGTCCAGCAGCTGGTACGTCAGCCGCCACCAGATCCCTTCACACACCGGAGACATTTAATCACACTCTGTCGTCGTTTATGAAACTCTAGAAGAATCCTCCTCCGAAAGAAGCCGCTGAATCTAAAGATCCTCATCCAAGAACTCCACAGGCCAGGTGAGTCAGGAACAGCCGGTTCTTTTGGAGAACCGGTTCTCTAAAAGAACTGATTCTCTACAGGAACTGGTTCTCTATAAGAACTGATTCTCTACAGGAACTGGTTCTCTATAAGAACTGATTCTCTACAGGAACTGGTTCTCTATAAGAACTGATTCTCTACA